CTACACAGGTTCAGAGGAGGTTTGGGAGACTTCCAGTGAGGGGCTATGAAGGCATCAAGTGGTATCTGCGTGATACCGTGCATGGGCAAATGGCTGGAGTTTAGGCTTTCAGAGATGGGCCATTCACAGGGGTGGGAACAGCATCAGCAAAGACATCAAGGCAGGAGATAAGTTTGGGAAGCATCAAGTGGCTTGGCTCAGCAAGTAGCCCTCTGAATATAAACATGACACTCCTGAGACACCTATGAGAATGAATTGCTCGCCAAGTGCAGGTCCAGCTGAGACACTCGTGTCCACTGTCTGCTGTCTGTCATGATGGAGGACAAGCAAATATCAGGCAGGGAAAGATACAGGAGTGTAAAATCTAGGGGCGGTGGGAAGGTGGAAGTCTTTAGGGTTTTTCCTGAGGAGGTAACGAATTTGGCCTATGATGCAGGAGCCAAGTCAGGGGTTAACAGGAGATTTTAAGACCCAGGCAAAGTGGAGAGCAAGATGCTGGGTATTGGAAACTAGGGAGCACGATATGGTTTCCTGATAAACTCCTGGCACCATCTTTGGGAGATCATACCTCTAGATGTCAGGGTCTAGGATAGGCACAGAGTTACAGAACAGGTTTTAATCCATTAAAACTAAGAGCTCTGTGGTACTGCAACCCATCAGGGCAGTTCCTCCTGCAACCAACCCAGCTGACCCACCCAGCCTTACCTAGAGGTCTATGGAGTATCCCAGGGGCTTTTCTGTTGTCAGTTGCTGAAACTGCAAACTTTACTATCTGAGCAGGCTATACAGCCTCTCTGTATCTGTTTCTCACCTGTAACACAGGATGAATAACAAGGTCTACTTCACAGAATTGTGTGGGTGAGGTAAGTTAATAAATAGATACAACTTAGCATAGTGTGTGTAGATCCTTCTATTTATGTATCAACTGTAAATTCCGTGGGGTAGCTGCAAGCCAGATGGTCAAGAGCAGGGTGTCAGAGCGACGGGACACGTCTCCCAGGAACGGAGCATCCTGGGTACCACTGGAGACAGCCAGTACCACAGGCCAGCCTGCCACCTGGTGCTGGAGAGCAGAGGGCCACTCCCCAGCAGAGACCTGAGGCCACACTACCATCATCACAGGGAAACTCCCATCTCGAATCCAGGCGTGGAATTAATATGTGCACAGGGAAGGAAAAAAATAGGAGTCTCTTGCCCCCCTTTTCAATACCATCACATCCAGAGGGCTCTTTCCTGCAGCACCAGCTCCTTTTCAACCATGTGAAGAAATGGAATGGTTTTCTTGAAAGAGTCTCATGAAGAGGAAAATCTTTTTAGAAGAGAGATGATAAAACAATAGATGGGGAAGCATCTGAAGTGGAAAGACCTTGAATAGTAAAGGATCCAGGTTTCCAGACGGTATCCTTGGGCTGCCAGGACCAACAGAGAAGGAATGAATGTGCTGTCAGAGGAGGTTTGTCTGTTTGAGCAGCTTCAAAGAGGAAGGCACTGACATCACTAATGGGAAGTGAGAGGAAGCAAGAAGGGGGGCCCAGTGATGCTTTCAGATGACTGTCTTATTGACTACGGTTGACAGGACTGCTTGCAGCCCCGAGCCTCAAATCATAGGATTTCAGAAATGCACGAGCTGAGCTGGACACTGACCTACTTCTTATGGTCCATTTTCCTCCTGAGATATTTGTCTGCTCTTGAGCTGACATATTCCTTTCCAGAGCCCTCGAGGTAATAGTACATAAAGCAAAATGCTCACTAAATAAAAGACATCTATGCTCTCTGTTACTATAAGGAATTGGTATTTAAATTTTACATCTCTTCTGGCCCACTCTGTCTTCTCAAAGGAGAGGTATGTAATTAGGGAGGCCATACCTTCAGGTATGGAAAGCCTGTCTTTGTGTCAGTTGTCCTGGCGTAATTATTGGCAGTGTCCCCTCCCTTTTCTTTCTCACAGGTGTCCTAGTTCAGTCCATAAATTATATGATCACCTGTCATAAATTCCCTCAGCAGCTGACAGTGAGAGATTTTGATTCATTTAGTAGCTTCTGCCAGAGCAGCTTCCCCTCTCCTCTTTACCTATTCCCATAGTCAAGACTATGTTTGCAAGTGGCGTGAGCCCTACTTAACCACCACTAGAGAAAAGAAGAAAATAATTGGCTCAGTGCAGTAACCTGTAGGGAAAGCAGAGGTCCACTGAGCTGCTGAGACAACTGGAACCAAGTTCTCCAACGTCCCAGCACTGTCTTGTTTTATTTCTAATCCCAGCTGCCTTTCTCAGCCTAATCTCCTCCTAAAGCAGGATTCATGGCCACCAGTAGCTTTTTCTCACATCTCATGCGAGCAGGACTTGTGCCTCTCTGTTAGTTCCAAGCTGAGTGTGTGTTTTGTTTTTAAGAATTCTAATTGTCTAGAATTGGATTCTGTGTCCACTCTAGTAGCTGAAGTGGACAATGCTGACATTGGCAGCCTCACCCAGAATAATCTCCAATGATTAGAATGGGAAGGAGTAATTTCCAAAAGAAAAGAGGCTACATTTCCAAAAGGGTAAAGGAGAAGTGCTGAGCTGATATGGCAACTTGTGTTACATAATTTTGCCTTTTTCTGAAATCCCAGTTCCTCCATGAAGCCTCTTCTGGCATCCTAGCCCTGGGTGTTCTTTCCCTCTTCTGAATGCCATCACATTTCTTGGCTGTGATGCTTATTTGTTATTGAGTCTTAACCTGTCTTACCCCATCTCTTCTGTTATTAAAAGGCATTGCTACTTTATGATTTATTTCTTTATTTTGAATGATTCACTTATTTAGATTATTTTCTCCTTAGCTTGGCTGTTGTCAGGCTGTAGGATTGTGTCTTAAGTTACTTCTTATCCCATAAGTGATCCAAGCATGAGACTTTTCCCAGACTAGGCTTGAAAACAGTTTGTCTGTTTGATTTGGTTCCTACTGGGCTGTTATCCATGTTGAATACATATCAATTTGGGAGGTCTGGTAGAGAAAAAGTCCTGTGCTGAGAGTCAGGAGACCTGGTTTCTGATTCTCACATGAGCCATGAGACACAGGCCAAATCATAACTCTCTCTATTTTATAGACTTTTCCATCTGTGAAATGATGGCCAAAAAAAAAAAAAAAAAAAAGTGCCCTAACTCTTAGGATTCTTGTGAGAACACACTGGGAGCAATAAAAAGAAAAGTGCTATATAAACGCAAGGTGTGTGTATTCATATTGATAATTCAAGGAGAGAACTCAGACGTTCCTGATAAGGAATCATTTTCAAGTACAACTCTTGCTACCAAGTTTGCATTTACACAATTGTTTCCCTCCCTAGATAAAACCACCTCATCTGCTGAAAACATGAACCCATGGTTAAGCCAACCATTTAATTAACTTATAAAAGCTTTGTGGAACTCTAAAGAAAATATAATAGTAAATTGGTTTCCAAAACTTTCTAATAGGAAAGCTCATTTCTTTGGTCCCATGTGGTACTGAAGGGCCAAATTGGCCAATTATGACTTTACTGTTAGATGGCTTTTTTTTTTTTTTTTTGGTTGTTTGTTTAATTTCAGTAATGAAGTGTTGATGTAATGTTCTTTTTAAACATCAACATTTTCTTTCTCCTACTGCTAAAGAGTCTAGATTCTAATTCTCTTCTTTTAGTCAAGCTGCAGAAATCCAATTCAAATTTACTCAGTACCTTATGTGTACCAGATACATGTAAGGACTGGGCAATAGGGTTTATAGTGTCAATAGGGGTCATCTGGGTCAAAAGGATCTTGAGGAGCATCCAGTCAAATAGGGACGACAAATGGTAAACAACCCATTATAATCATATCTACAATTATGCATGTAACAATTCTCTAAAGCAGTATATGAGTCAGGGTGGGACAAACAGCCCCAATTTTCAGTGTCTTAACATAGTAAAAGGTTATTTCCTACTCATACAAAGTCTAATATGCTTGTTCCTGGTTGGATGTCTCTCTACTCAGTGGGGACACAGGGATCCAGGCGTATTCTGTCCTCTGATGCCACCATTTTCAACTTGTGGCCTGTAAGGTCACCATGAAAAGGGATAATAGCCTGGGCAAGGCACAAGGGATACTTAGCCGTCTTAATCTGATAGTGACACACATGACCTCTGCTCATATTCCACTGGCCACATAAGTCCATCTAGTTACATGGACCAACTGAGATGCTGGGCAGCTGCTTCTCAGTCACAATAACACTATTCAAAAGGGACACATCTCTTAGGTGGATGATAGCTGTCTCTGCTACAAGTAATACTGTTTTTACAAGTGATAAAAATGGAGGGGCTAAGTAACATACCCAAGGTCAGACAGCTGGTATGTTGAGAAACCAGATTTAAACCCAGTTTGTTTGCCCCAAAGCTCATGCTCTCTTCACTCCGTCACACTAACTTCCTCACCATGACTGTGTGTCAGGCTCTGGCCATGGTTGGGCTCTGTCTGCATGATCTGCCCATTGAACCCATTTTTCCTGGTTTGAGCCTCTAGAAAGCTGGTCCTGCTGCTGCCTTAACTTTCTGGCCTGATTTTCTTCACAGCTCTTGGCTGTGATTGGGTCTTGCTAGTTTTCCTCAACTTTCTCCTCCTGGTGCACTCTCAGCACTGGACAAAGTTTCCATCTTGGTGACATAGAAAATCAAGAAATAGGATTAGAGCTTTTACAACTGCTGTTTGAAGAAGATAGCAGCCATTTGCCTACATAACTTCAGGTACTTTTAGCTATAAAAACTAGTTGTATCATTTTTTTTCAGAGTTTATAAACAAATTTATTTGTTTCTGAGAGCCATGATTTAGAACATTAAAAAGGTCCTCCTGGGAACCTAACTTGGGGGAAATGTGGCGAGAGGGCGGGACTTGGCCGCCCATGGGCACGTCACAAGATGCGGCCAAGCTCTCTGGGGTGAGCTCTGCTCTGACTTCAGGCCAGAGTGTCTGCCCTGGCAGCGCCCTGACAGCCGAGTGGTTGGAAGGCCCTGGCTGGGGAGATTCATTTGAAATCTTCCTTTTTCTTTGTCACTGGCGTTTCTTCTGGCTTAGCATCCTCCGCTATCTCTACTGACTTTTGCAGCTTTTTCTTCCCTCTCCTCTTTTTGGGCTTCAGGGTGAAGTGTAGGCCCTCAGGCGGCTGCGCACAGTCCCCAGCATCCTGAGCAGCGGTCTCGGAACCCTGGTCCCAGCAGAGACCTCTGAGCTGCTCCCCCGCACTCTTCTTCTTGGCCCCCTGCTCCTGGGCCCCGTCCCTCTTGGGATTTCCCTCCATTTGCCTCTTGGCCTTAGGCTTCGGGGAACTCTTCACATCCTTACCTGCTGCCTCTTTGTTTCTTTTCTTCATCTTTTTTCTATCCACCTGAGTCTTGGAAAGGTCAGGCCCTGGATCTGGGACCTGGGGCTTGTTCTTCAGTGCCGCCATCCCCTGGGCAGAGAACTCCTGGATGGTGAAGGCACTGGTTGGGCTTTCATTCTCATCTGGAGTGGAGGAACTGGCATTGCCCTCAGGAGTCTTCTTACTCTGTCTTTTCCCAAAAATGCAGTCAAGATCTGTTTTGCTCCGAGATGATAGATCCTTCCCTTTTGTGAATTTCATATAGTGAACACGGTCTTTGGAGATTTTGGACTTTTCCTCAAGGCTAAAAGACTTCTTTTTCTTCTTGTCTGAGGAGTCTGCAGTTTCCTGCCCATGGCAAGTGTTCAGCTCGGCCAGAAGCTGGTTAAAATCATCCTGATGTACAATCCAGTTGTCTTTGTTATTGTTGGTGGCTCCAAGTCCCAGGTGGTTATTTTTCACTTGAACTTTTATATGATCTGTGGCTCCTTGCTCCTGAGCCCCTAAACCCTTTCCTTTAGACCACCCCATCTTCTCTGGCATCCTCTGGCCAAACTTGGAATCGTCATTACTCCAGGCAGTGTTCTGAGGATCCACAGCCCACTTCTGCTTCTGCCAACGCTCAGCCAGCATCAACATGTCGCAGAGTCTGTGATACCGCGGCCTCTGGACCTGTGTGACTGCGGCCACTTGGCGAGGGGGCGGGGCTCGAGGAGAATCTGGACGCACGTAACTCTCTCGCTGGCAGACTGCAGAGCCCGAGGCGCGTGCTGGGGACGTCAGTGGCGCGCCACTAGTGTCATTTTTTTGGTTCCATTTCCTCCAGACCAGTAAGTGGTCAATTTCAAAGAACATACAGAGCTCTAGGAATTTAGATGTAAGAGACAATTCTGGGTTTGAAAAATGGAGCCAATTCATTTTGTGAGCATAAATATGTACATGGGACTCCAATCAGAAGAAACAGGACAGATTTGTATAATGAACTCTCCAGCTAGCCCATCCTGACTCATACACTGTTTTAAGCTTTGGATGGACCACAGCAAAGGGCTGTGCTCACATTTACCCTGCCTGTTTCAGATGTATGAAACATCAGCCCCATCCACAAAACCCTGATTACATTGAATTGAATTCCAGTCCCTATGGCTGCAAAACAAATTACCTTCAAACTTAGTTTAAATAACCATGTATTATGCTCATAGATGTGTGGACTAGTAATTCAAACTCGTAGGGACGGTTTGTATTTTTTTTTTTTTTCTAATTTCTGATGTCTCATTGAAAGACTCAGCAGCTGAAGGTTGAGATATCCGAAAGCTTATTCACGCACAAGTCTGATGGTTAATAATGGCTATTGGTTGGGGGTCTCACCTCCCCTTTACATGGGCCTCTGCGTGTGTCTTTCTATGTGAGTTAGTTGGGCTTCCTTGCAAGCATGGTGGCTGGATTCCCAGGATGGACATCTTGAGAGAAAAAAGAGAGCCAGGTAGAGGTGTGTTGTCTTTTTTCAGCTGTCCTTAGAATTCATGGAGCATTGATTCTGTCACATTTTATTCATTGAGGCAGTCACAAAGTTCTCCCCAGGTTTAAGGGTAGGAAAGATAGACTCTGCCTCTTGACGGGGAGTAGCAGTGTTCTGGAAGAATGAGTAGGACTTGAAACATTGCTGTGGCTATATTTGGAAAATATAATCTGCCATACCTTGCTTTCATTTTGATCCTTAGATCTGATTTAAATATTAGCTATCATATATTTGGTGCCTGTGTGCCAGGTACCTTATACTCATTAAATCTAATCCTGACTCCAACTCTGCAAAGTAGGTCATGTTATGCCTTTTATAAATCAGAAAACTGAGACCCAGAGAAGTTAACTAACTTACCCGAAGACACAGAGCTAGCAAATGCTAAAGTTAAGTTGCAAGACCAAGCCTGACCCACTCCAAATCTCATACTTTCCCCTACAGTTCATATACGATTCCCAATGGGGATGACTCATTCCTTTAATGAAAGGAAAGTTTGGCAGGGGAAGATTGGAGTGGTGGAGATGGGGTAAAGGGAAGTTCAGACACTTTGAATTAATGGTAATTTCCATGAAGGTGCTTGTTCTAATAATTTCCACCTTCCCAAGTCCACATATACTTAGAGCCCATCAAGTCAAGCTGATGTAATTTAAAACCCTCCCTGGTTTCCAAACAGCCGTAATACATTGACTTTGGTTCTCCAGCAAGTATAAAATATTACTCAAAGACCACAGGACTATATAATGTTAATGGGCAATGAAATCCACCCTTCTTCAGGTGGGCCAAGGAGAAACCATGGAAAGATTTTATTAGGATGACTAAAGAGTTCTTCATTCAAATCAAGATGCTTTTTTTTCCCCTTGAGACAGAGTCTTGCTCTGTTGCCCAGACGAGTGCAGTAGCATGATATCAGCTCCCTGCAACCTCTGCCTCGCAGGTTCAAGTGATTCTCCTGACTCAGCCTCCCGAGTAGCTGCGATTACAGACATGTGCCATCATGCCTGGCTAATTTTTGTATATGTAGTAGAGACAGGGTTTCGCCATGTTGCCTAAGCTGGTCTTGAACTTCTGCCCTCACGATATGCCTGCCTCAGCCTCCCAAAGTGCTGGGATTACAGGTGTGAGCCACCATGCCCAGCCTAAATCAAGATACTTTTGAGAGTAAAAAGTGTTGCTGTTACAAGTCATTGACCCTGACATAATTATCATTATTTTGTTACTATATTGATATTGTAGTTGAGGTATAGCTTAATAGTAAAGCATTTAGCTTTTAAGATGATGGCACAATGATTTTTTAAATATGTACACACTCCAGATAGAGAACACTTCAGCACACCCCTTCTCCAGCATAATTATTATTATGCCAGGAAAATGACTGTGAACAAGTTCTGTCTTGGGCAAATAGGGATGTATAGTCATCCTCATAATGATCAATTCCCAACCTGGCCTCTCTGGGGCTGGGCAAGAAGGTGTTTATGCTCAGAAATGATTGATTCTCAAAATCAAGATCCAGGAAAGTTTTTATTTTGGCCCAAGCCATGGCCGAAGCCGCTGGAAGGCAGGGCACCAAGTCCCTAGGCTGCACAGAGCAGGAGGGTCCTGGATCTGGCCCATGAAACCACTTTTTGTCTCCTAGGCCTCTGGGCCTGTGATGGGAGGGGCTGCTGTGAAGGTCTCTGACATGCCCTGGAGACATTTCCCCCATTGTTTTGGCAATTAACATTTGGGTTCTTGTAATTATGCAAATTTCTGCAACTGGCTTCAAGTTCTCATCAGAAAAAGGGTTTTTCTTTTTCTATCACATTGTCAGGCTGCAAATTTTTTGAACTTTTATGCTCTGATTCCCTTTTAGACATAATTTCCAATTTTAAACCATATCTTTGTGAGTACATAAAACTGAATGCTTTTAACAGCACCCAAGTTAACTCTTGAACATTTTGCTGCTTAGAAATTTTTTCCACCAGATGCCCTCTCAAGTTCAAAGTTCCACAAATCTCTAGGGCAGGAGCAAAATGCTGTCAGTCTCTTTGCTAAAACATAGCAAGACTCACCTTTGCTTCAGTTCCCAACAAGTTCCTTATCTTCATCTGAGACCACCTCAAGCTGTACTTCACTGTCCATTTCACTATCAGCATTTTGGTTAAAGCCATTCAACAAGTCTCTAGGAAGTTCCAAACTTTCCCACATTTTCCTATCCTCTTCTGAGCCCTCAAAACTGTTCCAGCCTCTGCCTGTTACCCATTTCCAAAGTTGCTTCCACATTTTTGGGTACCCCACTCTACCACTACCAATTTACTGTATTAAACTGTTCTCATGCTTCTAATAAAGACATATCTGAAACTGGTTAATTTATAAAGAAAAGAGCTTTAATGGACTCATAGTTCCACTTAGCTGGGGAGGTCTCATAATCATGGTGGAAGGCAAAGGAGACACAAAGGCACATCTCACATGAAGAGAACAGTATGGGAGAAACTGCCCCCATTATTCAGTTATCTCCACCTGGCCCCACTCTTGACATATGGGGATTATTACAATTCAAGATGAAATTTTGGATGGGGACACAGCCAAACCATATCACTGGTGATGTTGCTGTTGAGAGTGATGGTGGTAATGGTAGCTGTGGTGGGTGGTAGTGTTAATGATGGTGGTAATATATGTATATATATTTTTAGAGACAGGTTCTGTTGCCCAGGTTGCAATAGAGTGTCATAGTCACAGCTCACTGTAGCCTGCAAGTCCTGGACTCAAATGATCCTCCTGCCTCAGCCTCCCAAATGCAGGGATTACAGGCATGAGCCACTTAACCTGGCTGATGGTGATAGTACTGATGGTGAGAGTGACGTGATGGTGGTTCCGGCAATGATGAGCTATGTGATGGAGGTGGTGATGGTGGTGGTAGTAATGGTAGGTTGTATGATTGTGGTGGAGGGGAGTGAAGACGGTGGTGGTGATTAGTGGTGTTGCAGTGGTAATGGTAGGAATAGCATATGGTATGGTAGTGGTGGTGGAAGTGGTGGCAGGTTGTGTGATGGAAGTGGAGGTGGTGGTAGTGGTGCTGATCATGGCTGGTGATGAGATGGTGGTAATGGAGGTGGTAGTATTGGTGGTGGTGATTGTTGGTGCTGATGTTGGTCATGGTTGGTAGTGGTGAAATGCAATCAATCCTTTCTCTCCTAGGGGATCCCTGGGATTCTTTTATAAATTATGCAGATCTTCCTCAGAGCTTTGCATGCCACAGGAGCAACAACTTTCCTAATCAAATAAAAGGTGTTTTCCCCAGCAGGAGCTTCCCAAGCTTACATCTTCCTAGCAAGGAGTTGTCCTGAAGATATGCTCAATAGCTTTTTTGCTAAAGGAGAAGGGGAAAAAAATCCCTGGTTGCTACTTCACTACCCAATTTTTGGTTAAGTACAATCAACTATACACAGTTTTCATTCCACTTTATGGACTCAGACATCCCTTGTCAAACCCATACTTGTCCTAATAAAGTCCCTAGTGAGTGAACCTCTTCAGGTATTAAAGACTGGGGGCCGGGACAGGATGAAACTAATGGACAACTACGTTGTAAGGGATCCGGTGCCTTATCGACCTCCCTCAGCACTCCCAGACTGAACCTGCATAACAGACCATCTCCTGTATCTCTGACTGTAACTGCCATCTGCTGTGTGCCAGGCACCATGCTAAGTGCTTTACACAAAGGATCTCAATGAATTCTTAGCAAAAACAGTGTGAGGGAAGCAATATTATTCCTACTATAAAGTTGAAGATGCCAAAACTCAGCAAGGGGAAGTAACTTGCCTAAGATCACACAGCTGACAATTGTGTGAGTAATAAGTGTGTGTAGAGAACGACCATACACATACTTACTGTGGCTCACCTCATTATTGCAATTCGGTTGATCATAGATTGAAACACTCAACAAGGACATCTCTTTCTTCTTTTTTTTTCATGACAAGGTCTCACTCCTGTCACCCAAGCTAGAGTGCAGTGGTGTGGTCTTGGCTCATTGCAGCCTCAACTTCTGTGCTCAGGTCTCCCACCTCAGAATCCTGAGCAGCTGGAACTGCAGTCAACTCCCAGGCTCAAGTGATCCACCTACCTTGGCCTCTCAAAGTGTGGAGATTAT